GAAGTAGCAGTTTAAAATTAGATAGCTCGTCTTTTTATTTACCCCAGATGGTCGTAAGCATTTTTTTTCAATGACGTTCTGTTGTCTTAATTGTAGACTTATTCTAATCAATTCTTTCAATCGGACAAAACTATAAAGAATAAAAAATAAGAATTACTGGCAGCCTCACAATATAATAACATCGAAAATAAACTATTAGGTTATAAAGCTGATAGTTAGGCTTTATGCTGGATTATAGATGTGAAGACCAAGATAGTGTAGTCTTTTGTTTGGTCACAGTCTGAACTATTCTGAAATGTCGTTATTCTTGTGCGATATGTTAAAGAGGTACTTAACCAGATGATCATTGCGCCTTTGGCGAGGTTAGGGCATGGAGTGACATAGTGTTTTCAGAAAATTTCTTAAGTTAGAATTAAATTAACGGCGGAACTGGGCAATAGAATACAGATAATTATTTTAGAGCTGAATCAGTAAAAGAATGTAAGGATTCAACAGGCTACGGTATTTGTGCGTAGTGAAGAATATGAGGTGGATAAAGGAACTAGCTCTGGTCAATAGGCCGATTAAGAAGGAAACGGAATCAGTAGCTATTGTGACAATGCTCCAATAAGCTCGCATGGATGCGAGCCCTGAGTTTATCAAAGGAGACGAAAAAAATGGAAGAGATAAATTTAGTTTCAACGTGTAGAAACTCAGAGCAATGTGCGAATAAAAGTAAAGGAAGAAGACATGGAGAAAAACTTTAGCTAATTAAAATATATATCAAACTATGACGATTCATGCTTTACTGTTATACATGGTTCTAATGACGAGTGATTACAACTGACCAAGACTATGATCATGAGAAGCATAGGGTTGACACATTAGACAGCAAGAGCAAAAATTTGACAAGTTCGTCTCAGAAACGAGTAACGAATGGAGCTAGTAGAAAAATATAGCAATGCTGATGAACAGACCCTTAGATAAGGATTATTTCAAAAAATAGTGAAAAAAGGTAACCTCCTGCAACTTGACCCAGGAGCTGGGACCTTTACTAAAGAATTGTGCGATACAGAAAAAAAAACCTATTTTAAGCTATTTCACACAATCCGAAAAAATGAATAAACTCGGGGAAATACGAGTGTAAAGATACATGGCAGAGACAGAAAGAACAGGCAACAAAATAATTTCTGTGAAGTCGTGGTTCCAAATAAAAGGACTTAAAAGAAAAAGTAAAATTTCGCGGCTATCATACATACATTCATGGATGATTACTTGAACAGCTGCCCAACTAGAATGGATGCGGTGGCGAAGACCAAGTGAATT